ATCACACCCAAGCTTTTTTTCTGTCGTTATGTATAAGTGATCACCAGCAGCTAGCAAAGCTAATCCACGAAACACCAACTGTTGGCCTGAGGGAAGACCTGGAGCGGGAACTTGAGGCATTGGTGAGAAGAATGGAGGCAAAGGCAGACCAAATAAGTAAAGTCCGGAAACATCGGACACGGGTAAGTCAGTTGTCTGCAGTTGCGCTTCTGTAAAATGATTATTTTGAGGAATTTTTCACTGTCTGAAATGCTGCTATAGCTGAATTTGGAAGAAGCAGACATGACCTGCCTTTTGTGGTCACAGGAGAGAGAACCATTTGTGCATGGGGGAAATCCCACAAAGACATTTTACAAGTTGTCAAAAGACTAACATACATTGAGGAAAACAAGTTAGTTGTGTTTTTGGTTTTGGTCACCCACACTTTACTCGGGAAAAGGTTTGGGTTCCCAGGGTCTATTTTCACTGTTACTCGAAATTTTTGGACGGTCCTCCTCTGCTTTGCATATGCTGATCTATCTGGTCTTGCTTTATAATTCACATTTCACAAATATCGGAGAGAAAGTTAAAGATAGCTACTTTGATCAAAGACTTCAATCCCATATCTGATTCTTCTTTCTCCAGTCTTCCTTCATCTTACTGAAGTTTGTTTTGCCCCAAAGATCAAATACAGTGTGGCAAGCCTGTTCAGTTTACATTGCTGTGAAGCATATCTTAGTGCAGTTTTCAACCCCCTCATCTCCAGCTTTGACACTGTGTGTGCTCTAGAGTCAGAAAATTCATCTGCCTAAAGTCAAAGTGTTGAAGACTTAAACTGCAGATGTCATCTGAAATCAAAGGCAGTTGAGCATGTTTCCCACACATTCACTAGATCAGAGGCTCTCGACCTTTTTCTTTCTGACCCCTCCACCCCCCCAAAAAAACATGCTCTAAAAACTCCTGCATATAAAAGCCAGGGGCAGCAAGTAGGGCAATTGCCTGGGGCCCCCATGAAGCTACATTGCTAAGGCTTCAGCCCCAGGTGAGGCTCAGGGACCTAGGCTTCAGCCCCCTTCTGCCCGGGGCCCTAGTGAGTCTAAGGCTGGCCCTGCTTGGAGGCCTCCCTGAAAACTGTTTGAGGACCCCTAGGGGGCCCCAGACCCCTGGTTGAGAACCACTGCACTAGATTTCCAATCAGATGACTGAAGAATTCATAGCCCTTAACCTATTCTGCACAGGAATGTCTGGGCCAGTGGAGGAAGACCATTTATTAGTTACTCCTGTCAAGAAACTGAAACAGTTGTTGCAGACCGGCAGGTGTAGCATTGCTGACATTATATGGCAATTTGCATGGTTCTGCATGAATCCTGTATGCCCGACTAGTAAAAATTTTCCTGCACCACTGTAGAATTGAGTCACATACTGTCCTATTTACACATCTTTACAGCTGATGCCAGTTCTTCATACCACCTCAGGTAGCTGCTTTCTAAGGACAGTGAGTGGCCTATACAATCTGCCGTAGGTAAATGGAAAACTTAATTTTTCAGTAATCTCTGGGGAAAGTTGGGCAGTGGCTGTGTGGATTGGAGACTTAAGTCAGTTCTTATCCACATGTCCTCACGATTGGGGAAACTCCCCTAGAATCTGTTAGATGTGTGATTTCTAAAATAGCTAACAGTAATTCAGAACACACACTGCACTGGAATCAGAGATTTTATCTCCATGTTCTTAAAGATTTACATTATTCACTTGGCTATAGTAGTAAATATATACGCTGTATAGGAGAAGTTTTCTTAAGTATTCCAGGAGATTGGCTGTCCTGGTAATAGATGCTCAACTTTCTATTTGAGTCACAGGCATGAGTGAAAGGGGAGATTTTAATTCCATTGGGAGAAATAAGTAAACTGAAGCCGGGCTGCTCTTAATGTTTCTCTTTGGGCTTTCCTTTCAGCTAGAGAAACTCAAGAAAGAATGTAAGTCCAAAAAGTCTCGTGCTGAAGAAACACGAGACTGCCGGAGTGGAGTTAGTGAAGTGAAAGTAACAACCACCGTGACAACCAGGGGAAAGGATGCTGGCCCCATCAAAGTGAAACCTGGAGAGAAAAGCCGGAAAAACCTTCAATTGTTGCGGGACATGCAGAGTATACAGACTTCCCTTCAGAAAGATGACGTCAGCTGGGACTACTGATTTCTGTACTGGTTGGTATTTTCCTTAAACTCCACCAGTCTGAACTTTACTTCTCACATTCCAGGTCTAAAAGAGATGCCTTTCCTACTGTGTGAAAGAGACTACTGTATACGAAGTGCACTTTTTAAATGTAACCCCCCCATTTTGCAGCTGTAGGTCTGATTTATTATGGTTCTAATCCATGCACAACACAGATTGGAGAAAGCAAGCCTCATTTGTAATGTATCGAACTACTGAGTCTATATGCCACCCTCCATTATCCATCCCCTTTGCAGCTGTATCCTTCCTTTAAGTCTTACCTTCTAGCCTCCTTCCTCCACGCCTGCCGCAGGATGTTTTATTTCATTGTTCACATGGGTGGCTTGCCTAAAAGGTAGGTGTGGTTTCACAACTCTTGCTGTTGAACTCTTCTGCATGGGGCTGCTTAAAGGGATATCACCATTCGAAAATGAAGCTTTAGTCACGAGTCTACAAGGTATTATCAGTTGCTGGATGTATACACAGTTGCTGTCAGCACAGCCTTTGAGAACATAAGAAAAAGCAGGCGAACCTCATAAGTGTTTTGTTTAACTATCTAGTTCCAGGTCTGCTACCTTCCATTAGCCAATATTAATTGCAGTGGACACTTCAACTCACTCAAAGAAAGAACAAAGTAATTATCTTTTGGACTAGTTTTTCTTACCAATTGACTCTCCTTTAATAGTAATGATGTCTTAAAACTGGAGAGAGAAATGTGCCTTCACACTTAAGTGAAAAGTCTTCTGATGTGGAACATTGGGATAAAATCTATCATTTACTAGTGCACTTTGGCTGGAGGGGTAAAGCGCAGACATTTTTAATTTGCAAGTGCCTCAATCATGCTATTCAGTGCTGGCAGCTTGCTTAATTTTAACTTGAATTATTATTCATTTTGAGTTGGATATCTGCTTTTTTAGTGGTGCAGATATGAGTGCTAAATGACTCGCACACCTAAGTGAATGTTATTTATTATATTAATAATGTAAAGAATTTCATAGTAATGGCATGTACAGAAGACAGATTCAAATTACCTGTGTCTATAAAGTTTTTTATAATTGGAAACCAATAAAATTAACTTGCAAATCTGAGTGAGGTAAGTTGAAATTTCTCTTTACTAACTTTCGAATTATCTAGCTGTGACTTGTTACTCCTCATAAGACACTGATACAATTTACTCTTTGAATTGAATACAGGTCTGTCTCATCTTACGCGGGGGTTCCGTTCCGCGGTTAGTGCGTAAAGCAAAAACCGCGTATAGTCAAAACCCCATTGAGTTCAATGGCAGGCGAAATCGCCCGCACTACAGGTATAGTATTAAAAGTGTTGTTTTTCTCTGTTTTTTGTTTTGTTTTTGCCGACCGCATAAAGTTGAAATCGCGCATGTTAAATGCGCGTAAGATGCGACAGACCTGTATCAGACTGTTATTTTAAAAATCCTGCCGCACTAAAACTCACCTCAAGCATTGCCTGAGCAAAGGTGTTAGGTGGCATGAGTAGAGAGGAAGGATAGGTAAGTAGTGAAGATGGGAGCCTGGCACTTGGAAGACATGGGTTAAATTTCCTGCTCTGTCACAGGAATCCTTTGTAGCCTCAGGTAACTCCTTCACTGTGTGTTTGTTTCCCTACCTCCAAGGGGTACTGTGAGGCTAGATATTAAGTATGAGGTGCTCATGTTAAATATTTGCCAGCTCAAAATTATTTGAGATAATGGGAAAATTCATAAACTACCTAGGGATTGTTACTGGGACAGTAGCCAAAGGAAAACACTCCCTTTGAGCAGAAAGTTGCTCTGGTTGTATACAAAGCAATTATGTTACAGTAATTCTACAACTACAAAGTTAGAATATCAACAAAACCACGTTGCTTACTGAGAATGCCATACAGACTTCTCATCTTTCCTCCACTTTACCTTGACTCCTGAAATGGTTACTTTTCAGTGATAGGACTGACTCGTCAACATTCAGATGGGTTTTGTTTTGTGTTTTTTATATAAAGAACAAATAAATACTGTTAGGAGTGAGAGCAGGGCCCAAGGAGAAAAGACCACAGCCACTCACCAATCAATATTAACCATAAGGAAACAAAATACTAAAGAGACAATAATGCATACCTAGTGAAATGGCCAAAGTGAGGGTAAAAAGGTAAATGACTAGTCCATAATAGGTTCTTATACTACACTGTAGTATCTGAGAACCTAAGACTGACATATTTTATATAGTGACGGAATCTAAGGAGGACAGGCCAGCGGTCTGAGTGTCTCTCTCTCTCTCTCACACACACACGTGAACTTAAAGCAAGTTGTACACCCCATACATCATATGGTGCAAAGAATCAGCACAACCTGATTTTTTTTGAAGTCTCATTAAGGATCATGTTACCCTAACAAATGCAGTGATGTTTACACTTCATCTTAATGCTAGGCCACCCATAAGAGAGAAGACTTCACCCTAATGGACTGACATAGCTGCAGGAGAAAGAAGGAGGCACACAGTAAACCACAAGTAGCTTTCCAAGGAAATTCCACTACCTTAGAGGGAATGCAGCCCCTCAAAGGCAATCTACATATGCTGACTGCACAAAAATCAGCTAAACTACTCTGATCAAAACATACATCTGCATATAGAAATGAGATCCAGAGGCAAAGCTAAAAAGCCCTTATAAATATTTTGATTTTTGCTACACCCCCAACCTTCTCATTCAAGTGCATATGCATCTATTTAGAAAGACAATTAAAATGAAAAAAATCAGTTCAACAAAAATAATCGCCAGAAAATTGACTGTTTTCCCCCTGATTTCTACAATAAAGTTATTAAAATTGATTTTGGATAAAGTTTAATTGATCATTGTGCCAATGACAATGATTCTTTGCTCCAAGTACACTCTATTCTCTTCTCTGACAGAGTAACAAGTATTAAGCTAGTGCTGAAATATTATGCTAGCAGACTACACAACTCCATCAACTGACCACTACTTTTACATTGCGATTGTAATACATGCAGAAAGCTTTCTTTGGTCAATACACTTACTGTCAACAGAAGAGAAGTAAAATAGTTTGAATTTTAAGTACATCATCACGATCCCACACTGAAATATGGAAATAACGGTTGACACTTACCTAAGCAAAATTAAATTGAGTTGATCCCAGCAAGTGTTGCACTTGCCATGTTTTATATAACTTACTTTGCCAGCTCTTGCATATAAGGTGACCCCCCCCCTCCCCAAAGCCGCAGAAACTACTGGGGGATCTGTTTCCCACCCCCGCAGTAATTAACATTTGCTTCATAGTACTGAATTGGATGAAAATAAGTGATGATTCCAGGTGAGGGTGATGGAGGTAAACTTGGTCCCAAAAAGGACAAGCTGAGGGATACGAGAGGCTCATCCACTACCATGTCCTATAGGTAGAAGCTGCCCTTCCTGTAAATAAGGCATCACTTTGCAGTATTGGGTATATACCTAAAAGAAACAGACTTCATTGTTTTTTTAAGTTCCACCTCCATGACAGAAGTAAAGTCGCAGAACTTGGCCTAGCTTCCTCCGATGTATATCAAAGTGATAGGAAAGAGCCAATCTAACTAAATAGTAAAAAGCATTCTATTACTCGGGTCCCATCAGCTTCTGTCTTTCAGTGAGATGTTGGCAAAACAATTCAACTGACAGTTATATCTATATTGACATTGATAAGTCAAACTATTCAATGGCTATATTCTAAACATTTGAATCAGATATGAATTCTGCAGACTGATTTCTTACTTCAGTCTCTTTTTGTTTCCTTTCAGCAAAGTGGAGAATTTTCAGAGTCCTCCTCCTCTGTAGATACTTTCCTTACAGAATACTTCCTGCCAAGCAGTAGTCGCTCATTCGAAGCAAAATGATTTCTAACAGCTAAATCACTGAGAGCGCTAGGTTTTGTTTTTAGATGGCAAGTGCAATTAGTTTTAGCATCATCTAGCTACCAAAAAGATTGCATAGGGGTCTGCCCTTTTTTTAGCTTAAGCTTCCTCTAGTGCTACAGTACTAATAAATTACCCTGGAGAGAAATGTAATAAATAAGGTAGTTGGTGCCTCCAAGACACCAAGATCTAAATTCAAAGGGTTTCCTACTAGAGCTGCCCTTTTAAGGTGGTCCTGGGAAATACTTAATAGAAGTCCATATTATACAACTGTCTGTACAGGAGTGACACACTGTGCAGGAGAGCCAGCTCTCTCCGAGGATGAGGTCGATCGGTTGGTAATCTCTCTCTGGAGCTCCTCCACTTTCTTCTGCAACTCAGCCCGTTTGGCAAGAAGTTCCTTGTATCGACTGTGGACAGGTTCCTGCAATGCAAAAGAACGTGCAGCTGAGTGAATGAAGCAAATGAATGAGCTGTTCTGACTTCCACATACCTTGCCACTTATCTGTCACCTGCACTCTTGCAGCCTGCTAGTTCCAGGGCCCTGATGCTTATTGTCTACTATATTTTATTTACAAAGCTGATTTGGGAATGAGACAAACTAACAGGTTAATAACATAAGCACTGTGAATTGTAAAAGCTGAGACCTGCAGATCTCTCGGTCACCTATCCCCTTGGCATCTCGATACTGTTGATAATTAAGTAGATATAGAATAAGGGCACTTTGGAGATTCTTCTAAGTATCTCTAACTTGTCTTAAATGTTCAATGGTCTAGTGTTTAAAAACACTTCTTATTTCTAGTGACCAGGAGTTTCAGAAGTGAATGACTAAAGGTAGGCCCCAAAGTCTGTATTTAGGCATCTAGGGTAAACATTTCAAAAGTGCCTACGTGATTTGCAAGAGACAGTTCCACTGACGTTCAATGAGGCTCGGGCGCTTGAGTCCCTCCTGCAAGTGGGACCTGGCGCTTTTGACGCCTGCTCAAGTGATTTGATTTCTCAAAGGGCTGAGCACCTACAGCCCCCAGGGATTTCCAATCCACTTACTTGGGAGTCTAAAGTCAGACACCCAGTTTTTAGAATCGTGGCTGATATTTTTAAAACTAAAGTTAGGCACCCAGTTCAATTACACATGTCGCAGGTACGGTGCTTGCAATTAAGTTTTGTTTTTAAACTTAAGCTGTGGCAGTTTGGGCTTGGAAAGTACTGCTTACTGTTGTGCAGCTCCCAGAGGCCAAGGTGACTGGTTCCTTAGGAACATCAGAGACAAGATTTTTGACAAACACAGTATTTTAGAAACAAAATGGTCACCTGTGGTTTCATCCTTGGATTCCATCTGATGTAATATCCCACCCAAAGCTCTAGGTGGCGCATGCTGGCCACAGGATACAAGACATGGTTGGCGTAGCACACATACAAGGGATTAGTGAAGTCTTCAAGTTGGCTATTGATGTAAGACCACAGTGACAGAGTCTTTTTTGGAAGGCCCTTTAAGGAAAAAAGAAAAGCTGTTTTACATACCCAGCCATATGAACACTAGTATTTATCTACACAGCTTTATGAGTATTTATACCAGCATATACATATGTTTAAAATATATGCATCTGCATATACATATTAATAAAAATCTGGCTGCGTTTTCATAACTAAAAAATACATTTTATGCTTTTTTTCTAGAATATAAACACATGCAGGCAGGCATTTACATATACACCGCGGCATGCAAACATCCCTTATTCCCAACTCAACCTGCAGCACAATCAAGGGAATCACCATTGGCACAAAAAGGGGAAGGCTGCCCAGAGAGGAGATGGGGTTTTCTGAAGCTTTAAAGGACAGGAGGAAGGGCTGGCCATGTACATGACCATTATTTTTGCTACACTTCCCATCTTTCAAATACTCCCAAAAGAGGGCCCAGTGTATTTAATTGCAAGGAAAAAGCATGTGTTCTAGGCCTCAATCTAGCAAAATAGGTTTAAGTATGTGAGTAGTCCTAGTGAAATCACTGAGACTACATATATGCCTAAGTGCTTTGCTAGACTGATGGGCCTTACAGAGACAGCAAACAGAGCATGTGTTTGCTTCTTTGGAATGACAAATATTCAAGCCTCATGTACACTGGGAAAATTGGGACACACAATTCACCAGCAATGTGGTTTTAATAGCGATTTTGACCACTGTGCTGTTAAATTCAGCTCAGTGCACGTCTATGCAACACAGTGATACAAAACCATAGCCCTGACTAGACTACAGCCTCCACTGTTGCCATCCCCAGTGGAGAATTACAGATGCCATTTTTCCTAGTGTAGATGCAACCTTTGTGTAACGAAATGGTGCTTCCAGCTTTAGCAAGTAGAGACTGAGCGAGCGCCATTCATTTTCCTTTTGATTTCAGGTTGGGGTTGTACATGTAACATTGGATTAGTGTTTTAAGTCATGCAAATGTACACAACATTCCTCCACTTGCACTTTGGGTCTTGTAACTGCTTTAAGCTCTGCCAAGGTAGGCCAGGCTAGAGTACAGAACTATCCAATGTAACGCACTACAGCCACATTCCTCCTAATAGCTAGCAGTTCCATTCTCTCCAGGGAAAAGGGCGCATCTGGCACCCTGTTACTTCCATGTTATCAGCTGGATGTACGGTATGACTGTGCACACATTTTAGTTTATACAATCAGCTCACTTTCTAGTATTACTGGGCAGGTAGTTGAAAGTATGATTTTGTTTGAACTTTAGATAAACATCTCCTAGGCAACTGATAGCTGTTAAGACAGAGGCTAATGGTTGAAGGTGCCTTTAGAGATTCTGAATACACTGAAATGTACACAAGTCTGAAGTATAGCAATTAAGCTCTGAGTAGTTTACACCAGTTTACAGGGGGGAAGAATTCTGAATGCCAGCTGTTCAGCTGGAAGATCTGTTAGGGCCCAAACTTGCTCCCACGGGAGTCACCGGGAATGGGAACAATCCCATCAGCATCATTCGCCCATTTTAGGAACACTGAGAATTGCATTCATCTTGGAAAGAGGCGAGGCCTTACCTCCTTCACCCTCTGCTGCTCACTGCTACACAGGAACGTCCCAAACAAGCAGCTGTACAGGTGGTCCAGAATGATCATCAGGAAACAGTCATTGAATTCAAATGCTGTAGGAAACTTCAAACACAACCAGGAATATTGCGTGTTTATTTTCCTTAGTACATTGCTTGTTGCTAATGAACACACATCCCACTGTAACAGCCAATCGTGTTAGTTAATGAGCTGAATATGTCCCCTATGCATTTCTAATGCAGGATTCGTTTGTGTTATTTGGCTGCCTCTGTCTCCAAAATCATACTACTACTTTCTCAGAGCACACGCTTCACTCAAAAATCTGCTTTACATGTGCAGTAAGGAATTCTGAGCAAAAGCCAGAGGCCTGAAGGGTCTGATCACTGTATTTATATACACCCAGAGCTGCTTAAACTGGAGCTTGTACAGGGCTCTAATGCCAGAACTGTAAAGAGGTTATGAACAAAAGGGTGCAGCAGATATAAAATAAACAAACTAAGTAGGAATGAAAGCTCCATCTAGTTAAATGGAAACAATTCATGCATCCAATTGAGAGTTTTCCATGAGGCTGCAGCAGAAGGCCATGAAACTAGTTCAACATGTTGGGAATAGGTCGTGGGAACCTAGGAATTGCCATCACATGCAAGGCCTTAACATTGGCTGAAGCCTCTAGGTGTACTGTAATACAAATGCATAACAACCATCTGAGCTGCTTGGAAAACAGTTACAAAACTTCACAACGTTTTCCCCCCTTTTGTTTTAAAAATAGTTTTTCAAAATTTCATCAGAACTTTTCTGAATATTGAATAATTCTGACTCCCTCTATATAGAGTGGAAAACCTGTGTGGAGAGAGTTGTGAAAACTGTCCACTTTTTTTTCGAGTCGGGGCAGAGCTATGCAGTAAGGAACACGGCCAGATCTGGAGTTATGGTGTGTGTGGGTGGAGGGGGGAGAGTGGGGGGGGGAGGAAGTCTCAGAGCAGGGCCAGAGGGAAGTGTGGGGGTGGGGTGATTTGAAACCATGTGGTGGTGGGGAAACACAAGGGGACAGCAGGAAATCTTGTTCTGTAACCCTTACCATCCTGTCCTCCCTGGCTTCAGAGCCCTATTCCCAAGGCTAGATGATATAACAGGTCTTTCCCATCTCTGATGCCTAAGAGTCTATGTCATCGGCTGCCGTTCAGTCCATCCCAAACACCTACTCCTCCCAAGGAACTTGATGGGAGAAGGGTTACGAAGACCACTGTAAAGGATGCTTTAGCAACATCCAAGAAAGGGACATGCTGCCACCTCTCCTGTTTGGCGACTGAAAAGTACCATCTAAAATGGCATTCCACTGCACCATTTTTATCATAGGTTGGTTTTTTCAATGGTGGCTAGGCACCTTTGTCAAAAGGATAAAAATATAACCTACAGGCCCTGGCGCAGAGGCCAAATGCAGAGTGGACACAGCGGCATGGCTCTCACTCTAAGCCGCTAGAGATGTTCCCTCCAGAGCAGAGGAATTTAAGTGGCCCTGCTCATACAGTACCTGGTCTGTGGGTAAAGAAGACACTCTAATGTTGATAACCATGCACAATTTAGGAGCAATGCATTCACTTTTAGAAGAGGTTAAAGTGAAACAAAACCCAGCTGTCTTCAATCCCTTCTCCCCTCACACAATTAATGCCACTCGGGGAAAATAAAAATTTCAAAAGTCACTAAATGACTAAAGAGCCTAAGTCCTATTTTCAAAAGTGTCTTAGGCCCTTAGGCTCCTAAATCCCATAGGCATTCAATGACAGGCTCCTAACTCACTCAGTTACTTTTGACAATTGTACCCAAATGAAAACAGAAAAGAACAAAAAAACACACACAAAAGATGCTGTATTTTAATTTCAAAGTTGAGCAGCAAGATCACTAGCCAGACGCACCCATCTAAGTCCTGCATAAAGCAAGTTTGCAGCTTAGAAATTTACCTGTCTTGTCATTTGCCAGACACAATCAATGAACTGGAGAAAAACGGGAGATCTGTCTGCATCTGCATGATTTTTATCACCATGGCCAACTCTCTGATACAAAACAAAAAAAGAACATGAACTAGTACAGTACTTCACAATGAAATAGCTTGGATTCTGTGTACCTGGGTTACCAATGCAGCAGCCCGCAATAGCAGTAAGATGGTCTAAAAGTGTCCTGATTTTGCTGTGTTTATATTAGTAAGTGCAGAAGTTCTGGACAGCTATTCCTCTAGTCTTTGAAGTGAGTTCCTTTCTCAGGGACTTGTTAAGTGCACTTAAGAAAGAACTAAAAACAAAAGTGATCTAAATAGAAGCTCCAGATGTTATTCTGGCACTGACTTCATTTAACAGCTAGCGTTCAAAAGACTAGAAAAAGTTTAAACTTTTGTTCCTTTAAATTATATATATCATCATCATCTTCATTCAGTAGTACAGTATAATGGATCCAAGAGTTGCACAGAAACACAGCACCTAATGATAATTATAATATAGCACTTCCTAGCTGCCAAGCTCTGTACAAACACTAGCTCATCCTCACCACCCCATGAGAGGTAGTTACGAAAGTGTCCCTAAGAAGTAGGCCTCTGACACTGACCTTGCTGTGAGGCCTTGGGCAAATCACTTAAGGTCCCAATTCAGCAAAGCACTAAAGCCGTAGAGGTCGTAGAAGAGTTTTTAAACTAAAGACTTGGGGAAGGCTAAAAGGTATGGAGGACCACACGGTTTGGACCGAGATATCCATTGGGGAGGATTTATTAAAGGGGGTAATCTATATCCTACTAAAGAGGAGAAGATAGAAAATTGACAAAGTACAGGTAGGAACTCAAGAAAAAAATTAGATGAAAAAGAGTCCCATTCAGTTACATCACATGAAGGCAGACAACTTAATATTGACAAATTTTATAAGTGCTTGGATACAAATGCTGAAGTCTAAATCCTAAAATGGGTGAACTTGACTGCCTGGTATTAAATGAGTATACTGATATAATAGCCCTCACAGAAACTTGGTGGAATGATAATCAATGGGACACAGTAATACCAGAGTACAAAATATATAGGAATGACAGAATAGGTCTATAAAAGGTGTGGTAAGAGTGAATAGAGAAGTGTTAGTTACCCCTTCATATAACACAAGAACCAGGGGTCACCCCATGAAATTAACAGGCAGCAGGCTTAAAACAAACAAAAGGAAGTACTTCTTCATACAATGCACAGCAAACCTATGGAACTCATTGCCAGGAGATATTGTGAAAGCCAAAAGTGTAGCTGGGTTCAAAAAAAAGAATTAGATAAGTTCAATGGCTATTAGCCAAGATGGTCAGGGACACAATCCTATCCTCCGGTTGTCCCTAAACCTCTGTTAGCCAGAAGCTAGGACTGGACGACAGGGGATGGACCACTCAATAACTGCCCTGTTTTGATCATTCCCCCTGAAGCACCTGACATTGGCCACTGAATAGTGGGCCAGATGGACCATTGGTCTGACCCAGTATAGCCACTCTTCTGGGCTTAAGCATGTAAGTAATAATAATACCTCTCTCTTATAGAATACTTTTCATATGTAGAGCTCAAAGTGCTTTACAAAGAAGATCAGCATCATCATCTCCATTTTATAGATGGGACTAATCATCTCCTTACAGTTTAAGCACCTGGTTTACTGTTTTGCTGGATTGGGCTCTCAATCACTCAACTACCTCAGTTTCCCCACATGTAAAATGGGGGATAATATCACAAGTATGCAGATGGAAAAACTGTTAAGTGACTACCCAAAATCACATAATGAAATCAGTGCCTTAGGTAAGTATTAGATACAGTATTAGATCAGATAACCTTAACCAACATCAACTGACTGCAGTCTAAGGACAGTGAGCAAAAATCAACAAAGAATATAATGTGCCAGAATGCGTATCAGTGGCATTCACCTTTACTCTGTGAGCTCAGCTGTGATCAAGTAATGCTGATTAAAGGAACATATAGAACTATGTAACTAATCCAGTGAGATGCTCTTTGTTCAACACCCAGCAATTGAATCGGCTCAAAAGGCTATTGACTCACCAGCTGAAATCTGTGCCCAAAGCTCAGCCATTCCTTCTCCACAAGCACCTCGAACCCCCTTATTGTTCGATAGTAGCCATCGAGAATGAGCATGGACAGAGAAGTGAGCTGAGCTGTTCGGTCCCAGCCATCGCTGCAGTGCACAACCACGGAGGTTTTCCCCGACTCCACCTTATCAGCAATCCGAAGAGCGCCGGCAAGAATTAGCTGCGACACAGACAGGGCATTAGTGAAGTTTCTCCATAGAATATGAACTACAAGTGGAGAATTGCCTGTGACACCTCTAGACAAGACAAGGGCCATGTCTGCGTCACAATTATAACCGAGACAGGGGCTTGGTTACAGGCTGGTTATGCCCCAGAGAGGTTACAAGTTGTAGGGCAGACATGACTCTGGAAGTGTCCCAGTAGCCAGATTAAATACTTGGACAGTCCAGGATTTAAACCCAGTTACCTGGACACAATTAAATCCCATCTACACTACAATTTTAATCCTGTTTTAACCATGTCAGGGAACAGTGCTGCTGTAACCAAGTCCCTTGTCTCGGCTACAGCAGTAGTGTACATGGGAAAACTAGATTGGTTATATTTTGCCAAAGGAAGAAACTGGCAAGCCTGCTTTTCCAAAAGCAGCTCTGTACTATCCTTTTTTTTTTCGTGTAAATGCATAATTTCAGGGAGTTGACCTTTATGTGCCAACCCTGCAAATACAGGTACTCTAATTTTGTCAGATGAGTGAGACTTGGGGTGTGTGTACATAGGGAAATTGGCTGGTATAACTATAGAGGAATAATTATTCCCACTGTAGCTAAACTGGTCAATTTCCCCATGTAGACAAGCCCTTGTTCCAAGTGTTAGTGCATTACACATTTTTACATTAATAGGTTATTCACCCCAAAAATTATCTATCTATGAACACAGGCACCCGTGGAATACTGATTTACTTTGGCTAAATATTTTCTGCCAACTGAACAGCTGACATCAAACTACTCAGCTATAAGGAACAGTGCAGGACAAACAACATAGGGTACTACTCTTCCCAAAGATTTGGCTTGCTATCTCCTACTTTTAGACTTGAAACTGCTGGCTTTCCCTGGGACACCTGTGTAGTATGAACCCACATACAAAGTTTACATTTTGGAGAGGAGAAACCCTCACTGATTTTCAGAGAAATGACAACATATGATAAAAATCATAGGCCAAATCTAGTAAAAATCTATGTTAATGCGGCAGCTGGAAGCTTCTTATTTATAAGTAAATGGCTTTTTTTCTCTCTCTCTCTAGGGCTGTTTGCAACTGGGAGCCCTTAATACCCATCTAATGCAGGGGAAGCTGATGGTACTCAGCACTTTACACAAATAAGTCCCTCATTTTTTTTCTCTCTCTTGGTTTATCAGGATTATAGAGCATCTTATTTGAAAAGATTTCCCTCCGGGGGATGAAAATGACTTAATAATTCATCTGGTGCCATTATATTTTCTCCCATACGACGTGAAAAACATATATTTTCAGTGCAGATTACTTTTATAGAAGAGTAAGAAAAACAAGAGTGAAAAAAAGAATTAATATGAAGTTTCTGTGAGAGAGAACACTTGGACTTTGGCCCCAATCCTGCAAAGACTTACACATGTGCTTAGCTATATGCATGTGCTTAACTTTACTCACTATCATGAGTCCCAATGAACTTCCCATTGAGCACAATGGAACTCCGGAGAGTGCATGAAGTTAAGCAGATGTGTAAGTCTTTGCAGGATCAGGATCTTATTCTGTAATATTCTGAGTCTGAAATTAAACACGAAGTAGCAGCTGCCTCGCAACTGTCCCAGGAGTAGACAGACACTTCTGCTTTCAGACAGATACATACATCACGGATACTAACACACATGCACACCTTGATATGTTCCAGCCAATGAGTTGATTCCAAATTGGACAGCCAATGAGTCTCCTCAATGTTAGGATATACAATCTCCTTCAGTTTTCTCAATGATTCTCTCATAACATGAATATTGTGAATGTCCAAGAAAACTAATTCAGCATTCTGATAGGCATCCTCACTTTCATAACCCCCTCCTTTAGCCTGGGAAATAAAAACAAACCCATAGGAAATCATTAACAAAAATGTGTTTGGTCTTTCAACCCAGTAGCATTTACAGGACAGATATTATTTGATATGTATTATCAAAACAATTACAAATTGGCTATCAAAATCATGATGAAAGAAAGCAGGAAACAGACCTATGCATTGTATTCATTTTACAAATGGGGACAAGGCTATTCCTGTACATAATCTTAATAGAATTTTCCTGCAGAAATGGTTTTTCCTTAATATGGTAATTTTCACCTATGTTAAACTGCTGAATATCATGTACAGGTGTTAATTTTTCTTTTTGAAAATTATGAGTTACCACCCCTGAAGTTACAAATTCATCAGACTCACTATATTGCAGTCTGGCAGTCCCACTTTGGGATCCTATGGGAAGAGCTGCATTTTCCCCACAGGTAATTGCCTTTAAGGGGTGATGAACATAGAGAAAATCCAGAGCGTAGGCAGCAAAGGGATTCTCGCATGTAAACAAAGCTCGATAGCTATTGTATGCTACATAACATTAACGCAGGGGTCTGGGCCTGGGCTGCCTTCCTAGTCATTCCACTGAATCTCTGTCTGACGCGGAGAAATCACACGACAGGCCATCACATTTTCAAAAGCAACCGTGGATGTCAGGTGCCCAGCTTGAGGCATCTCAGGCCCTATTTTCAATGGTCCTGAACATCCACAGGTCCTGTTAAAGGCAACATGCGCAGAGGGAATCAGGCCCAAGCACAGAGAAACAGAAGCATCCAAGATTCAAGGTGCCAGAATCTCTGTTCTGAACTGCTGAGCAAAACACCCTGAACAAAGCCTGGTCTTAAACCCTCTGTGGCTGGCTCAGTGGTCTTTTCTTCCTCTACAGTTTGAGGCCCTGATCCTGCAACTGGATTCATGCCGGTGGAGTTCCACTGACATCAGCAGGACTCGGTGCAGGTGGCACGGCTCTACCTGCACGGATCTAGCTGCAGGATTGGAGCCATTGTCAATGCAACAATTCTATCACGGCAACCGCACCTTTATCCATTAAAGGAGGGTGGTAGGCTAGCTCTGAATTGCAACATCCCCTGCCACTGAGAGAGGAGAGCACATCTAACCTTATTGGCTACAGCATTAACGCTAGGCCGCGCGTCAAAGATGAAGATTTTATGGGACTGAGCATTGGAATCCATGATGGACTGAAGATACTTTTCATCCTCTTTGCTTCGCTTTCCGCTCACTCCAACCATCGGCTGGCTACAGCGCGTGATCGTAGCTTGGCTTTCGGGATGAATCCATGACAAAACCTTTAACAATACACAGGGGGGAAAAATGGAGACAAATTCAGTAGGACAGTGAAATGATTTACCTGTAGCCGATTCCATTGGATCCATTCCTTGTATTGATTTGGTTCCAGAGGATTGGATCAAATTAAGTCGTGACTGAATTAAAGTGACAGCACTCTCCTGTATTTTGTTCTTTCACTTCAGTACGTTCCCAAAGCTGGAACCCACTTACAAATGTATGAATATGCTTAAACCTGACTTTTAAATGGAGTACAGCTAATTCTCCTGCCATTCAGTTATGAGCTGAGTAAGACAGACCCCTTTTCACGCATGCCCATTGTGCTGAATTTTGTTTTAGTGTTCCCCATTTAAACTGTAAGCTCTTTTGGGCAGGGACTTGTCTTTTTATATATCTGTGAAGCAAATAGCATAATATTGGCTGCTTCTGAAATAAAGGTAATGATTATGACATTCCTTATTTACAACTTGATGTTAAATAAGAGTCTTCTTTAACAGTAATAAAGGACTTCAGAAAAAAAGTATTCAGTTACACCTCCCCCCCAAAAAATCAGAAAAGGCAGAAAATTCTGAATAATTAACAGGGCTAATTTTGTATCCTAGAAAATTAAGTCTGGATTTAGTTCAATTTTCTTATCTTCTTAGCACTTCAGTTTAGTCTATGTCTCTTTCATGACACTAATTCCACAGAAAATGCTGCCTTCAAACTCCTTGCAGAGGTCTCCCCGTTGCTTTTATTATCCATCAATCATTTGGGTTTGCTCCATGGCATCCTCTTTGTCTGATCACTGCATTATTTATGGTACGAAAGTCTTTATAAAACCACATCAAAGTGTCTTCCTTTGTCATACTCACTGGTATGCGACCCCTTGATCTGAAAGATGCCACTCTCTTTAATTCTTCATCTGGAATATTCACGGGCACGACTAGAATGGCAGGATATGTATCACACAGCTCGTAGCGCTCGTTTATCTTGGTTATTCTCCAGCTTTCATTGGGAATTCCCTGCATATGAAACAACACTAGTTTAGAAAATAAACTACTACAGGGTCCCCAACCCAAGGAAAAGAGACCAGTGGACTTTGCCGTCACTTCTAAGAATTTAAATTCAAGGGCACAAACAAGCGTGTCTGTATTAAGGAAGGAAACTTATGGCAGCAACGCAGATTGTATGAAATGGCCGGTTACCTCCCTTGTCTTTGTGATGAGTTGGTAAAGTGCTCCCCTGCAAAAGGGACAGTGATTTAGTTCATGGAGACAGAGCAGTGGAGAATATCAGGGAAGGTGGGTAAAACTACAAGACCCAAAATCACACTCATGGAAAATATACTGTGAAGCAATGCTTTGAGAGCAACTTTGTCCCTGCTCCCATTGTGGCCCCTAACGTAACAAGCTGGAGGAACAGTTCATGACTATAGAGCACAGGATAGGAGCCGGCTAGCCCAAGCTTCTCTTCTTCTCTGTTGCTCAGTCCAACCTTGGATGGTGCCCCAGTGATGCTCACCTTTTTGGTGAGTGGGAGAGTGGGGATGGGAGCCACCAGACAAGGTGAAGGGGAGACCAGAAGGGAGAAGGGTCAGTAAAGCACATGGAAAAGAGAAGGGGTGGGGGGAGAACAGATAATGGAAAAACGAGAGAGAAAATAAAGGTGCAATGTTAGGAGCTGCGTCAGGACATGGTTCAGAGGACACAGGGGTCCCATCAACCAGTCCACCAAGCCAAGTTCATAAGGAACTGAGCAGCTCTGGTTTAGGGTGTCCACACACCAATTCTGTTTTGACAACTGTTTTGGCATGTGGCTGCACCTGTGAATTCTGGGATACAGAAGCACTTTTTCCTATAGCGCCCAGTGTGGCAGTTGTGGAACTAGTATGTAATAATCTAAGAATACTGAGATGGAAGAGTTTTATGAACACTGAAAGGGGCCTGGTCAGTGAGGTGAGGCTACTGTATAACTACGGTAGATTATTAGAATTTCCTGTATGATTGTACTGATCTAACTTGTATTGGGAGCAATGGAGTGTTTATTATATGCCTGTAAAGCTTGAATTCAATGGGGGCTGAGCAGGAAGGCAACACAATGGCTTGCCAGATGAGAACATCCTGGTACACACTTGGAAGAGAATGAGGGAGGCTATGAGTTGCAAGGACTCTTCCTACCTCCTGTCTCTGTCAAGCTGCACGCCTTGTTTTGCTAAAGCGGGGCCAGAGCCGGCTCCAGG